AAAAGAAAACCAGCTTACATTTTGGCCAGTGGTGACTTTTTCATTTTACCTGTTTCAAAAATCTTCACTTTTCTTTTTTCTATAAATAAGCAGCATTTAAACAACAAAAAATCCCCTTCCCCAAACAGCTAGCAACCTATTTTTTCCTGATAAAGGCCGGAAAGTGCTGCTCACAGCAGTCTCTGTTAGTCCTATATTTTATGCTGTTGTGTCATGTTTCCATGGGTGAACTAGCTCCCACCTCAGTATTTGCTAATGCTTTGGAATGACAGGCTTATTCCCATCACTGTAGCCTTGCAGAAAATCACATTAGTGGGACCACACCAGCTACTGACAAGTATGGGGAGGGGCAGTTTTTGCAAGACAAAGAAAAATAACACTACTAATGAAAATGACTGGCCTACAACCTCATCCATGTAAGTCTCAAGGGGAGACTTGGGACCTCCTGTAGGCTGAGGAATCCTCATCACAAATAAAGGTATGAAAAACTAAACATCTAGTGCTAGAGAAAAGATGTTTAAGTCCATTCTCAGTGTATGACACCTGATAGTTTGATGAACACTTATTCATGGGGTGCCTTAAGCAGCTGCAGCTGTTCCACTGGATTTCCTACCAGCTTCAAATAGAAGTCCATACTTTGTGTCCCTGGTCTTTCTAAAGGCAATTATAACTTACAGGATTTCCCCCAGAGCCCCCAAAACTGTCACTCTCAGATCCAAAACACTGTCAGAAGGCAAAGCTTTAACACAGCCAGTATAACAGATCTCTTTGTGGGATGCCAAAACAAAAGGGCTCAGGAATGCTACCCTAACTGTGATTACCTAAGCCTTGGAAACAATTTTGATCTAAACCAATCCCATTTATAAGAGCTCTAAGGCTCTTCCTGTCAAACAACACCAAGTTTGATGTTTCTTTCAACAGTACATCATGACAAAACAACATCTGTATCTTTACAAAAAGCTCCTCTTCTTTCTCAAGTAACTGGCAGCAAGTGTCCTGTAATGTCATGGCATGGATTTCTTCTGCCTAGGAAAGGATTGCTGTAGGAGAAACCAATTCCATGGGTCCATGTTTAGGACTGGTGCCAGCCCTGAGGCTGGCTGGGACCAAAGGTATGCTGTGTGCACAAAGACCACACATGAAACTCAGTTAGGAGAACTGTAAAACTTCAACTCCCCCTTCTCTGCAGGGTGCCCTCACACCAGCCCATGAATTACCAAAGACAAGAGCTGAATGAACAGAAGCTCTTGCCACCTATTCAGCTGGAACTGGGACATGAAGAAAAGAAGGGAAGGTTGATACAGTCAAGAAGCTGAAAACAGAGAAGGAAGATGTGCAGAAGGGGAGGTTCTCCTTCCAGCTGTGGGTTTATTTATCATAGGGCACTTCAAAAGCAAAATGCATCAAACAAGAGTGAAGATGAAATACCAGAACTTGTCTATACTGCTGCAAACAAGGCTGAAAATCCCTTCTTTCTAGGCTCTGAACAGACTGTAGGCAAGAAAACGGAGGCCTTGCCTCTGCTCCTTAAAACTGCAGGAACTGACAGCAGTGAAAATGATTAATACGTGTTATTGCGATGATCCAAAGTCACCAGGAGTGCAAAGGCTGCTGCTGTTTGGGGCTGTTACATCTTTGGCTATTTTACAGATTTACACTGGTTTTTTTATCAGTTTGAAGAAAGGTATTTTCAGAATTAATGCAGATAATTTCATTAACAGGATAATGATGACTTCTAAGGAGGCTATGCTTTTATTTCAGCAACAAGAAAAAACCTTTGTTACTATAGTCCCTTCTAATCTTTTCTGTCTCAATACATGGGAAAATCCCTAATGCATTTTAAAGTCCAAGATTAAAATCACTTCTCACAAAGGCTAATTCTGCTTTAATTTCCTTGTATATTTTGAGAATGCCTTTCAAGTAATAATTTTCACTGTTAACAGATCCATTTTCATACAACACTTGAACACTTCTTTTCAGTTTACAAAACATTCTTGGTATATAAAGGCTAACCTGCCTATTTCAAAGTGGAAGACAGTCCATCAGAGGCACCCTTCTGTTCTTTAATGTTTAAAATTTTTTTACATGAAGACGTTGTTGACCATCATCAAAAGGCAAGGAGCACAAAAGAAATGCAAAAATTAGAATATTACATCAGTCCTGCAAGACTAGATACAACTCATAAAAGGATTAGAGGGTGCTAGGGACCAGGGAGAATTTAATTTCCTGAACAAAATTATGTTATTATAGTTGAAATAAATGTAATAATTTCAATAAGGCAAATCAGTTCTCTTACCTTCTGCAGCAGTAAAAAGGGACAGGTTCATTTGAATGCTTTCCTGCAGCCAAATCAAAGAAACCTACATCCAACTGACTCCTTTCTCTCATGAAATAAACCTGACCCAAAAACCTCTCTGTCTTTCCTACCTTTTTTTTTTTTAATATGTGTTTGCTGCATGGCTGGCCACATCCACCTTTGTCAGTCTACAACAGTGATTTCCTTCCTACATTGACTGAAGAAGTCTCTTGGATTCAAAGCAATGCGACACACACTGACAAGTGCATTAGGAAAGCTTCTGGGAGAAGGGGAAAAAAAGGTCTGAGGCAGACACACCAAGTGCTCACCTTTTTTGTTCAATTAATTAATAAAGTGTACTTTACTAAGCAGAAAGACAGACAGTGTAAAGGTGCATGAGGATGGATTGCCAGATGGTATAGGGAACAGGAAGTTTAAAGAAGTACAGTAAAACTGGGTCAAACCCTACTGAGGCAAACTCTTCTGAATGGGAACTTTGCCTGAATAAAATTGACAGGTCTGGCTCACTCAGGTCAGCAACGACTGAACTTTACCCACAGAAAATAAGGATAGTATCTTCTAATACAAAGCAGAGCACAATATTTTTACTACACTGAACTGACAATGCTGATATTTTGGTAAAAAGCAACATAATAAATTTCTGGTGAAATTATTTCCAAGTTCTTTCTGTTGCTTCAAGCAACTCTACCATGAGTTCCTGTTAGAGAGCCAGACATAAACAAGAAACTTCCAGCACAGTTCATTAAAGACTCAGGACATCACTTCTGTCCATACTTCACTTACAGAATGGCCATCTGCTCTTAAAAATGAAGCACTGAATCAAAATCTTCCATGTTGTGGAAACATCTCTTTTGACTTATGTTAAAGAAAATTATTTGAAAGTTATTAAAAACCAAGATATTCATGTAAATCATCAAAACATCTCCCAAGTACTGTCATTTCAGTCCTTGTAACCACCTCTGCAGGATAAGTGCTATTATATTAATTCAATTCTACAAGCAAGGAAAGAGAAAACCTCCAATGTTAAGTGACTTGCTGAGTCATTTCACAGCTGGGAGCTGCAGTCTAGCAGTAGATAATAACCTCAAGTTGTAGAGTGTTTTGCCACCTTCCTGTGTTAGTACACCTAGCAAAATGCTTTCTATTTGCTATGGGGCCAATCTACAACCTCCTGTCAATTAAACAATATAAGAACTTTTAAAAATCCTGAAATACATGCAAATATACAGCTGATACAAGCAGCACACAAAGCCAAACCTAAACCTGAGGCTAAGGGAAGAACTTCATCATTGGCCTGAAGCAGAACAAGAAGCCCTTTACTATGGTATGAAAAATAGTGATAAAGCCCTGGTAACAATTCTAAAAATCTTTGCTAATGCCTTACCAGTTCTCTTTTCAGTTAATAGTTTTGATTGCCATTATCTCTGTGCGATGAGTCTAGGAACTGTCGTATTGTTTTTTAAACACACAACAGGCAGATTTTTTTTAAAAAACAAGAACAATCAATTACTCAAGTTCTTTATAACTGTTATTACTAACCACACCTAGTAGGCCCTTCCAGTAGAGTGGACTGACAAATGTTGTTAACACAGCCTGTATTTCATTGTGTCAAAAATGACTGCGTGATGGAACATGCCTAATTGCAGCGTCCTCAGTAACTGAGTCAGAGAATGCTAGCATGTGAAATAGCAACCATCCACTTGCAAAATTCATAGAGGCTCTGTGTTAAAATACCAACAAAGTTTGTTCAGCAGATGATAGGAAATTATTTTCATGCACTTATGTAACAAAAAGAAAGATAAAACGCTGAAAGAAAATCAAGAAAGAAGTTAAGTGGAGACATAAAAATGTTACTGACATGAGTACAACTGACAGTCCCCTGGAGATTCTGAACTCAAATCCTTCTTATCCCCATGATACAGCTCAATTTGAACACACTGCTGTCTCCCTATGCTGTTGGCCTTGATGCAGCAGTTGTCTTCTGCTGAACAAAGCACTCACACACACGCCTACACTGCGGCAGCTTCGCTGGGATTCAGGCCTCTGCTTAACATCAAGGCAACACTTCAGCTCTTTGCTGGAGGAGGTTTCAGCAGGAGGAAAATGCAGTGATCACGGGCTACTGAAACTGAAACTCGTGCAGAACAGAATAGAAATTTGCTTTGTAAGACTAGAATGTGACTGCTGCACTTTGTGTGCAGAATTTTTAATACATGCAGGCACTGGAGCATGAATTACAGGTCAAGGGCCAAAGAAATGATCCAGCTCTGAATCTCCTTGCTTTCATGCATTTAAGATTCCAAACCAAAAGGCAATGGTAACTTTAAAAAGCAGCCAAACACATCTCAAAACAAAAGATGACCTATATTTAATCGTAGTTTTGGTGACCACACTGGATGAGCAGTGTGGCTCATATTGCAAACACACAAAAAAGTGAGCAACACTATCTCTTTTTCTTTAGCATGGATGTACTTAGCATATCCCTCAGCTACCTCTGTGCATGTGTCTACTTCATCCATGCACTGCAGTTGGTTTGCAGATGGGGAGTTATTGCTGAGAATGGCTGATTTTTCCACAAGAAGTATCTCCACCGCAGAAAGTAACTCCGTTTTCTGATTTCCCCATCCTTTAGATTCATGTCTCTGCTGACAGCTCTGCACTGCAATGTCCAGGAGACCCTTACCTTCCTCCAGGACTCCAGTCTGCTCAGAAGCTGGTGATGGAGGTGGGGAAGGAGGCAGGTTGGCTGACTCTTCAACTGCTAGAAATCAAACAGTGAAAACAGAGATAGAGTCATTAATTCCAGGAAGACCAATACATGATGTAAGCTGCAGTCAGCCTGTTCTGCCCAGCTGAGGAATTATCTGATGAGAACTCATGCCTGCTGGATTTTTAGACAGATCCTTGAAGAATACATGGACTTTTGAAATTATAATAAAAGGATTTATTCTTCTGCTGTTGATTTATTTTCTAATGGTATGAATTACTTACAAAATTCTTGTTATAGAGCACAATATAAAAATCAAATACAAGATACTCTTTTAAATCAGTATTGACTCTTAAAAAGCGTTCAGTCATCCAAGGCAACAACAAAAAAGCATCTGAGCACAGAGGTATTATAAATTCACACCAACTACCAAAAACTGGCACCCAATATCTTTAATCCACCTTGAGTACATGAAAAGACTCCATTCTGCACACTTTTTTCTTCTACTGCATTCAAGGTTAATCACAGAACACATGCAAATATTGCTTGTCTAAATGCAAAAGATATCAGCATAGGGAACTTATATCAGCTGTGACATAACAGTGATTCAGCTGAGCAAGGCGCAGTGAAAACTTAGATGCACTTGGACTGGGATTTGCATTCATTCCCAGTCATGAGACCAGATGCTGAAAACAAATGGATTTTTTACAGTTACTTCAATTCAAGTATGTTTAAATTCTAAAAAAGCTTCTTAAATGAACTCTCAGCGTGACCTTTGCATTTGATCTTGTACCAATCACTTTGAGAATTTTTTTCTTTAAAAACAGATCCACTCCTGGGGCTAAACCAATGTTAAAAAAAACCCCACACCCAACCAAATCTGTTTTAGCAGATCTGTCTTATCAACATCACCTTTCAACAGGCAGATCTCAGTTTACTGTTCAGGGATTCTTTCCAAGCACAGGCAGGCCACTTTCAAAGCCCCAACAGAATTTTCCAGGCTTCCTCCTATTGATTTCAGTGTGATTTGGAAAAGACCGTATGTGACTTGTCCTTAAGATGTGCTGTCCAGGGACAGAGTATTTATAAACTCATCGCAATGCATCTGACCACAGGAACTGTAACACCAACAGCTGTTAATTGAAGACATACTTCTCACAATGTCTTTTAAATTACTTATCTGACTAGATGGAACTGAATATCCATTTTGCCTCTCCCAGGCCTGAGTGAAGTGATTTGGAGAATTGGGGTCTTCCATGTAAAACTGAGTCTCTGCAAAGAAGGGAATCACCAAGCAACCCATCTCCCTGCTGCAGTTCTAAGTTAGTTCAATGAAGCAAAAAACCGTGGGAACCAAGTTTCCAACAAATATTCTAAACTACTCATTGACTTGAATTCATTCTTAGGCAAGGGCCAAGTACTGCACCAAAACAAGCAGATTACCTGTGAGGAAAACACTGCAGGGCATTGTTTTGATTTAATCACAATGAACATGCACTCAGCAGAATCCATCCTAGGACAGGCTTGCATGACTTCCTTACCTCAAGATGAAGTATGTCCTTTCTCTGGCCTTTGGTGTACATGTTTTGAGTAAACTGCAAAAGTTTTCTGGCAAGGAGCAAGCACTTTAGGTACAAATGGCTGTATACCTACCTTCTTTGATAGATAGGTAAGATAGATACACACATACACACATATTTCAGAGATATTAAACAAAGGAGGCAAGAGGAGGGTGGAGACACAGCATGGACCAGTGGCATTTTTACCCTTTCCAGTACAGACTGCTGGGATTTGCTTTTACCATGTCACTCCTTCCACAATCTGCCCTCACTCTGGCTGGTGCTGTCAGTCTGGTGCGACCCATTCCTTTTTGCTTCCTGTGGAGGTGCTCCCCCCTCCATCTATTTGAGCAGCTACCACCCAACCAGCAAAGCCTCACTTTGCTTTTATTTGTCACTCCATCTTTGCCTCTTCAGACGTTAATCCTTCACACTGTACATGGCTGAACTCAAACAGTTCCAACCAACATGATGACAAAACCCTACTACCAAACACACTCATGGCTGAGCTACTCAACCATGAGTCAGAAACAAGGTGGAGAACTGCTGTTAGAGCAAACAGGGAATGAGACAGTCACAGGGTCATGAAGAACTGGGAATTCAAGATCCTGCCATAATCCTGTGGCTCCAGCATTTATCCAGTGGTGGCTATGGTTTACAACCATAAGCAATGTGAATACACAGCTGGAACTGCATTTTTTAATATACATACAGACATTTGCAGACACAAGGATACCTGAAACATTCTTTGTCTCATTTTACCTAAAGGTAGTGATCCAGGCTGATCTTTGTGCTGGGCTTCTTTTTCCTGTTCACCTTTCAGGACTGCTACAGCTTCAGCTGTTACTACTTGTACTATCCTCGCAGACACTTCTTCTGTGGCAGTAGCAAAGTCAGGAAAAAAGAAAGAAAAGCATGCTAATCAGGATGTTGTTTAAAATCAGAAAGATTAGCTTAAACAATAAAAACCAGAGGCAGACTTAATCCATTTTAAAAGGTAGTCTTTCTTCCTGAATTATAAGGAAATCATTAAAAATAAAAGAAAAGGACCAGATATTCCAAAGGTTTCAGTACAAAATGCCACGTATTTATAAAAATGAGGAGCTCACTCTAATCAGGATGCACAAAGCTTCATTATTAAATGTTCTTTCTGTTAGGGACAATGTGCAGCAACTGCAATATTTTAAGACTACCATCCATTAAATGTCTAGAAAAATATCTGTAGGTATTGTTTTGCAAATGGGTAGAATGGACAGCTGAGTAATGGAATTTCTTGACATTTAATATATGAAATTAGCTGCATTCCAACATGCCCTTTGGACTCTAATTCCTCCTCAGCAGCACACAGTATGCATTAAAGGCGCTTCCCAGACAGCCATCTATGCTGGTGAGGGACTTGAAGGGCCAAATAACATTCCTGCATGGTTACAATCAATACTTCATCTTCCTCACCCCTTTGAAGACTGCCACACAAAGCTTTATTTAAACACTAGGTCTGAGTACCGTGCAGAGGGATGGCAGAGGATGACATTTATTTGGTGGAATGGGCTCCTGGCAGCTGCCCCCAATCTGCTCTGTGCATGGAGCTGACTCAGGCACTGCAGGCTTGACAGAGCTGGGTGCCACAGAGCCCTCACAGAACTCTGCTCTTCCCCACTGCCCACAAGGTGTAGCACACCTGAGAAGGGCTGAGCAACTGGCTGCTCTGGTGAGCAGAATGTAGTAGGACCACTCAAGGACTGAATTCTTCCAAACTGAGAAACTGTCGCAGCTCAACTCCAGACCCACTCAAAGGTGCAGTGAAATGTCACCAGGCACACAGCTGCATGTGGAAGCAACCAGAGAAGTTTCCTCTCCTCTGGAAGTTCAGATACCTTTGATGCAACAAATCAAGATCTTAAGGGCTGGTCCAGCAGCATTCAGAGAGCAAAGGGTTTGTGGTTCTTATCTGTGAGTCTGCTCTCCCTTCGTCATTAATCAATATATGTTTCTCTCTCAGCCAAACTCAGGGGAAATAAACCCCTTCCCTCTCCAGCTATATCCAAGTGCTGTCTGCCAGCTGTTTCCAACACAGATGGAACTGACCCCCTGGGAAGGCCACAAGCTGCACAGTCACAACCCACCAGCTGCACAGCTGAGCACACCTGGGACCAGAGCAAAACTTTACTGCTTCCCCAGCCCTTGTGTGGAGACAGAGGTTTGTAATGGCAGATGTCAATACACCCTGCTCCTGCCAGAGCCCCATTAGTCACCATCCTGAGGGCAGGAATAAAAGCTCTGCTCACCCACTACCACATCCTTCAGGCAAGAACTGGCTGGGAAGAGCAAGTATGTTTAAATCAATGCCCTACATGTAACTTCACAGCAACCACTCTGACAAGGGACTGTTCATTAGATTAATAATGATTTATTTTCACAGTTACTCTTACAGAATTCCCTTGTACTTTTAATGTGAAGCTATTCCTCTTCATTTGTCCTTTAGAAAAGCCAAATATTTTTCTCAAAAAACACAGATGTAAATTACCACAGCCATGTTTGTTTAAAACCAAAGTTCTAGGTTAATCTTTCTTTTACACAAACTATTTAGCGAGATATTAAAAATCCCCACCCACTGGCAAAGAATATTTGTAATTGTTGGTGTTTATACCTAACAATTCACTGCACTCCTGGCTGGTCACCTGGAGGGCAGTGACTGCAACAGTTCCATTGGCTGCTGCCAACAGCATAAGTAGATGGATGAATACACCAGAACTACTACTAAGCAATGAAAAAAACAAGCTGATTTGAAAAACATGAGTTTGAAAAAAACATTTGAAAACATGAATATAAACTTGAGAATAAATACAGATTAGAAATCCAAAGATGCTGCTTTCCTACTCTCAGGGGTGAGAAGTTCTAACAGGCTTCCACATTGGAAGAAAGAAACCAACTGTTTTTTGAGATGAGACTACATATTTGATAAAGGTGCTTGTAAGAGGAGAAGGAGACTACGAAGAGCAGCTCCAGTTCTGATCTTCTATTCAACAACACATCCCATAGTATGAGATGAAACTCCCCTTTGTGGTTAAGTAGATCAAATGGAGCACCAAAACCCCATCAATCGAGTCATGCATGTGGCCAGTCCTATAGATCAAAGAACAGGGATATTGATTTAAAGCCCAGCAGTCTTCCCAGCTGCCTTTCAGGGGCCTGCACGTTATTTTGGGGCTTTGCACCTCATTTTGGGCTGCTTCCACACCTGCTGGATGCTGGGGGTGCTTCTAGCCAGCTCTGGGTTCCCTCCTCTCATGAGAAACACAAAGCAGACACTCCCCAGACACTCCCAGACTCTAACATGGTGCTGCTGCTGCGGACCAGAGGACTGGACACAAATCTGGAATCCTTAAAGGTCCTGACAGCTCCCTGTGTTGTGAGGCACCTGCAGCCTGCAAAGCACAAGCTGGGAAAACCTGGGAGAAGGAACCTGTGGCGTGGCCCTTCCTCCTCCTGCAGACACACGGGGCCCTCCCCACACCACAGCGTGCTGCATGTGCTGCAGAGAGACACACTGCTCCTCCAGAAAGCATCCTCTGATAGCTGGTATATAGCTCAGATTCTGCTCTTTCAGAGCAGGACAGAAAAGAGCCCTGACAGCTCTGGTGAGCATGGAGGACAGTACAGAGCTTCACCGAGTGCCACCGATACAGAAGACCCCGCACCAACTCCTGCCACCACTTCACACCTGAAGGATGTGACACGTGGCCCTCTTGTCAAAACTTCACCAAGCTACTAGTCATAACACCACAAAAGTTACATCATTGAGACTATACTGTTAGCTCAGATGAAACAAATCATGACTAAATGAGGAAGACTCTTAATCCATTTTTGAAGCTTATATTCACATGAAAATTTTAATGAAAACCTCCAGTTAATTTCTGATCTAGAATATACAAACCTATATCAGGTTTAGTACCCTGGAGCATATCCAAAGGAAATCCCCTTGGCCAACTGCTTTCCATCAGCCAAGCTACTGTAACCCTCCTCCCAGCAGGGTTAAGACAAATCATTAAAAACTGCCTCCTTTGTAATAGAATTTATACTTGTTCCCATCCAGCCTGGTCCTCTAGTACAAATGGGTTCTACAAGCTCAGAGGGCAGTTCTCACCCTCTCAGCTCTCTTCCTGATTTAATTTCCTTGGGAGAAAGATAATGCTCCACAGGGAGCTATGCAGGGGGGTGAAAGGTTGTCTCCTGGTAAATAGAAATTTCTATTTCAGGCTACGCAAAATAAGTAAATAAAAATAAAAATGGCCTCTGGGCTTGTATGTTTTGTTCAGTTTGTTTTGTTTGGCAGTGGTCTTTAATCAAGAAAGGCTTATTTCTGAACACTCTGCTGATGGATATTTTGGGTGACACAGGGGGCATGGGCAGTTCATCAGAACAGTGCTTTTGCCATACATGACTGCTGCAAAAGGACAGACTCCTCTGTACTAATGGACACTATAAATAGAAGATCCAGTGGGTAAGTCAAATCCTCACAGCGCCGCTATTGAGACTTTTCATAGTTTTCTTATGGTTCATTTAAAGTTCAAGGCAGCCTAATGATAAAGAACAAACAAACAAAAAATCAAAACAAGACCAAAAAGAAAGGGAAAATTAGGCAGCTTGAATGCTGTGGATGCTGAGCTGTGTATTCACTAGACATGGTTTTGCTTGTAGACATTTATTTTCCCTTGCTTTTAACAGGCAGACTCCTGACTCTACTTCATGCAGAAACGGCACTAACAACAAGGTATAACAAACAGATTTATTTCTTAAAAGCAATAAGGAGCATGGCTTTACCTTAGATTCCAGCAGAACAAAGAACAGCAACATGCCTTTTCTTTGCATTTTGTAGAGAGTAAAATGTTGCTCCTTTTACCAAGATGTCAGCTGTTCATGATGCAGGACACAGACAGAGCTCCACAGCTTGATTTTAGGAATACAGTACCCTGTGGTATAGGGAGTCCTTGAATGGGATGTCCATAACAGAGAGAAAACACAGTGAAAACCCCCAGCATGAGCTCTCCAAAGCCTTGACAGGGAGCAGGCTGAGCTGAGAGGCCAGGGGCTGACATACCAGGATGGTAGCTCTGCTGCACCCTCAAAGGTCACTTCAGACCACACTCCAACAGGGCTGCCAGGTCAGCTCTGCCACACTGCTGTCAGTGCCACGGCTCTTCTGTGGCAGTACAGAGGACTCTGCCCTGCTGAGAGGACAGAGCCCTGTCTGGGGCACTACACTAATTTAAACCAAAGTTAAAACTCAAACAAATTAGGCACTCAGGCTTTGGAAGTCAGCCCAATTCTTCTACAAACACCAGCATACCAAATCAGGAGATCTAGAATCTCTGTGTCCCAGAGATGACTCAGGGACACAAACCCTTTCCAGAGTACTAAGATGCACAGAGGATGCTGAACCAGCTGTGAGGGGAGTCACAGCCTTCCCCCCAGGTGTTTAGAAGGCCTGCTGCCTCCAAAGGCTGCTGTTCTCCTCACAAGTACACCACGGGCACAGGTGCTGCCCAATCCCCAGCATAATCACTCTAGCATTGAGAATTACACTGAAGCAGGTGTAATTCCAACCTGTAATTCATCATTCCTGCACTCCTTCCGATAGCTGAGGCCCCCTTCCCAGACAGGGACTCAGACAGGGGCTGGTAAATGAGGTTACATGCCAAAGACTGGCTCCAGCATGACACAGTATCTGGGATCAGATCCTGTACAAGGCCAAGATGTAATTTCAAAGTTCTCCTTCGTTCCTTATTGATCCTGCTGCATTTGTCATTGGACTGCAGATGTCTCCACTGGCACATTACCTACAGTACTTCTATTTCCCATGACAGCTTTCCATTCCA